CCCACACTCACACCCCCAGCGTCCCCCCACCACCCCTACACACACACCACAATCACACGCGCGCCACAGGTTCAAGGAGCTGGGCCCGGCCAAGGACGCGCGCCCGGCGCTGGCGCGCGTGGCGAGCCAGCTCGTCAGCCGGATAGGGCGCACAGAGAGCGCCGGGGAAATTGCAGAGGGGGACGTGCCCGAGAGCCCCGGGATGGACAAGGTTCAGGCGGCACCGGACGAGCACCGGAAGGGTGAGAGCCGCCCGGCGCCCCGCCTTGCCGCGATGAGTGACGCGCAGTCACGAGAGACGGGGGGTGGACGGAGCGGCCCAAGTGCTGGGTGTCGCAGCCGGAAGGCGAAAGGGCTCGGGCCGCGGCGGGCAGGCGGCGCCGGGGGCCGCAGGCGGCGGGGTGTTGGGGCTATCATGATCCACAGCAGCGCCCGCAAACGCTGCGTGCGCGCCGCAACGCCAGCAGCGGCTATGAGGGATGCGGCGACCTCCTCCTGGTAGCAGCTCCCTCTGAAGCCCCACGGCAGAATCCCCCAACTTTTGACCCTCCGACTTCCTCCGCCCGCACCCACCACCCCTCCCCCTCACCGCACACCGCCCCTCCCCCTACAACCCAACATATGCAGAGGTGGTGGACCCCTACATCGAGTCGACTGGGTACTGGCAGGACGCCAGCGTGGACCTTAGTGATGACGCGGCCTGGAAGACGACGGCCATGGGGTGGGGGGTGCACCCTGAGGGCATCAGGCGCGTACTCAACTACATCCAGGTGCGGCAGGGGATGGTAGTGGGGGGGGGGGGTGCGTGGTAGTACGGCCGCGTGATAGCGTGTGTGCGTGTGGCTGCAAGCTGGTAGATGGCAGGCTGTGTGGTTGCTTGATTTGGGAGGGAGGGCAAGGTGTCGGCAGGAGCGAGGGGATGGTGTTGTGTGCCAGGCGCTGCTGACTGATGGTGGTGTGGTGGACCTAGTGACGCGCACACAGGTGGTGCGGCGTGCCAGCCTGCGACGTCGTAGGGGGTGCTTGCTCCTGAAAGGCCTGTGGTCCAGAGGGCCAGGAAGGCCCCCCCTCAGCCACCCCTCTCCCTTCGGCCCCGACTTCAACCCCCAATTGTTGACCGCCACCCCCGCCGCGCGCCACCCTCAGGCGGAGTACAACCCCCGGGGCGGCATCATCGTCACCGAGAACGGCGTGGCAGTCGAGGAGGCGGGGGTGGCGGAGGCTCTGAAGGACATTGAGCGCGCGGTGTACCTCAAGCGCTACCTCACGGGTGAGGCTGCGGCATGCTGTGTGTGTGTGTGTGTGTGTGTGTGTGTGTGTGTGTAATTGTATGTTTGTGTGGCGTTTATTTCTGGGTGCAGATGTGTGGTCAGCAGTGCATCTTATCATGGTGTGTAGGGTGTATGTGATGAGGAGGGTAGGTGGGGTTGAGTTGCGTGGGGTCGCTTGCGGAGGGAAACAGACGCGCAGACACGGCAAGGCGACGCCGAGCTTGCGGCGGCAGCTCAGGGCGTTCCGACGTCCCCGAAGCGCCCGCGTGCCAAAGGGCCCTACACTGCAGAGCGCAGACCCCTCGCCCCCACCCTTCTTCAACGCGCCTTCACGCGCGACTTACAGAGGTGCACAAGGCGGTGGTTAAGGACGATGTCAACGTGAGGGGTTACTTTGTCAACTCACTCCTGGACAGCTTCGAGTGGGGCCACGGCTTCACTAAGAAGTTCGGACTTCACTACGTGAACTTCGAGACGCTCGAGCGCGTCCCCAAGATGAGCGCCAACTGGCTCGGCGAGGTCATCAGGCGCAACCGCCTCGAGTGACGCCACGATTCGTGCGGGCGACGCCGGTGGCGCCGCCCACGCGCGCCGCCCGTGCGCCTGTTGGAAGTGTGGCCGGCGGGGGCGGACGCGCCGGCCCAGAGCGAGCGTGAGTGCGCAGCCGACAGCGCAAGGGCCGGCGCGGTCATGCGCATGCGTGCATCCCCCGCGGTCTCGTTGTCCCACCCTCCACCCCTCCCTGGGCCTCCTCTGCCCCATGCACCATAGCCTGCCCCCTTGCAGTAGATGCGGTGCCTTCTTGTGACTTTTCTTGCGTTGGTCCCCGCTCAGCCCCCATTTAGTGCAGGCTCTTGCAGCGAACGCGCGATAGCGCTATCAGGCACCCGCCAGGCTGGCGTCGAGGCGCACCGCGGCGCCAGGCGCAGCCGCTGTCACCCTCTCCCCCCGCTTCCGGCAGCGGCGCGCAAACCACATGCCCCTGCCTGCCCCCGCGCGACGCCGAGCGGCGCGCCGGCCCGTCCAAAGCACAACGTGACTGTGCGCGTGCTGTGGCACGGTTCCAGGCCCTAGGCCTTTGATGCAGTGTCCTACCGGGGCCGTTGCCGGCACCTCACATGATGTCATCGTGTTTCACCATGTGCCAACCATGTGTGAAGTCATCCCCGCCATATGGGCGGGGCTTGCAGCCCCAAACTTCACGCCGCGCGTGGCGACGCCCCTGCGCTCAAAGCGCCGCCGCCGCCGCCGCCGCCACTGTGCGGGACGCATACTTGCGCGTGTACACGCGGCCCCTGCTAAACGACGACCCTACATTTCATCGCCTCGCAGCAACCTACCCCCCTCCAGCTGAACGTGCGGCGCGCCTGCGCGCGCGTTCTTGCAGCCTGGGCACACCCACATCCACCCCAGCGCCTGTGCGCATCCGCGCGCTCCTGTGTGCGCGCCGCCTCCCCCGCGCTCCTGTGTGCGCGGGCGCCCTGCTGGGTCGGCCCCGGCCGGCGCCCCTCCCCGCGCCCCTCTCCCGCGTGCCTGTGCAGGCCTGGAACGAGCCGCAGCCTCCGCCTCCACCTCAACCCTGCATGCCGCCCCGCCTGCCATTGCCCAGAGCGAGAGCCGCGCGCTGCGCCGCTGGTCGCACCGCTGCTTCTCACATGTGAATGTTGCCCCACCAAACACCGGCTCAGGTAGGGCTGCACACTCTCGCGGCGTGGTGCGCCCCACAATACTTGCTTCGTGCCACTTGAAGCCCCGCCAGCCGGCTGGCCCCGGCCAAAAACGCACGTCACACCCACCACAACGCCTCTCAAACTGGACTCACTCTGCGGCACGCGAGCGCACGCGGGCGTCGCATCGGTTAGTAATCAACAGAAACGTCGTGGCACGCCCTGCGCTCGCTGTGCATTTATAGTAATAGATGGGCCATTTGGGGCCGCGTGCCGTGACATGTCAGATTAATAGTGTCCAAACACGTTGATGTGGCTGGGCTCGGGGATTGGCGCTTGAGCTGAGCGTGCTGCAGGGCACATGTGTGTGAGGGCGGTCGGCGCACCTGCGTGAGTGCGGCGCGTCGACGCATGCTATGAGGTCCGCATGCGGTGAGGTGGTCTGTGCGCGCAATCATGCGGGGTCTACCCATGCGCGATGCGGGAGAATTGCCAAGGCGCAACGTACTGATCACCTGCGAGCTCGACAGCGCTTTGGAGCGCGAGTGTCCCACGCCGCTCCTTGCAGCGATCAGACGGGGAATAAAGTATGGTTTCCGAGTTTTCGCCTCCGATGTTCATTCTGGGGCATCTAAGACTCTCTTAGCCCGAACGTCTGCTCGAGTCCCTCTGACAGTCTGAGTGTGTCGGCAGCTTGCGCAGGTCCCCAGCGCTCGCTGCGTAGGGCCGCCTGGCTGTTTCAACGTAACGCCAATTATCAGTGTTACCATATCCTTGCACGCCCGAAAGGACTCTCCTACACACTCCACTCTCTGGTCACGCCAGGCCACGCCGCTCCGCTGGAAACCTCGGCTCAAACCGCGTTGAAAGCATGGAGTCCATGTCGAATCGTTTTACGCAACGCACCAGCGGGCTCCGGGGGACCAGCATGGCTCGATCCCTCGAAGGTGCGTCGTGGGCCGCGCGACCCGGTCCTCCTCAAGCGTGGTGGGGTGATTCGTGACAGAGTACGCGCAAGCAGCGTGCAGGACAGCGTCAGCAGGGCCAGTTGCCCCTGCCTCGGTCGAAGGCACGAGCGTGCGCGCGCTCGCGGCGCGCACTGCTGCACAAGGCGCACAACTCACCCCCTTGCCCCGAACGCCCTTTCCCCTCATCTAGTCCGCTGCGTTGCGTTGCTGCAGCACACCGCAAGGGCTCGCGCGCCCCGTGTCTCTACGCTGGCGGTCAGCAGCGGCGCGCCCCACGGCGCCCCCCAGGGCGCGCCGGCGGTCCCCCAGCCAGCGCAGCAGCAGCCGGCCCAGCACCAGCAACAGCAGCAGCAGCAGCAGCCGGGGGGCCACAGCTCATCATGGTACAGGAGCCACTGGGACATGAACCTGTTCCATTACCTGCCCTGGTAAGGCCCCGCGCCGCTCGCCGCTCACCCGCCCTCGCTCTGCTGCAGCCCGTTTCATAGCAAACCCCGCTGGCGCTCATCCCAACCCCGCCTCCCCGTGGCGCCGCCCCCTGGCCCTGTCCAACGCCGCCCCCGCCTGCCTCTCCTGTGAATTCATCCCAGGTGGCTGCAGCCGGCGCCCATCCTCGTCAGCGGCCTGCTGTTCTTCGCGGCCGCGCTGCTGATCGACAGCGAGGAGCCGACCCTCAAGGCCGCCGTCATCGCCGCCGGCCCCGTCGCCCTGTACTACGCCATCGCCCTGTTCGTGCTGCCCTCCCAGTTTGCGAAGTTCGCGGTGAACTATATGCGCAAGCACCCGGAGCTGGAGGGCCAGGCCGCCACGGGCGCCCGCGCGTCGCGAGACGCAGCCGAGTGAGCGGCGCGGCGGCGCGGCGGCGCCGGGCCCGCGGCTGCGCCTCGTCCCGTGCCTGCGGGCGCATCGTCGCGTGCGGGCGCTTCGGCGGCGTCCCGCAGGCGGCCACAACGAAACGAGTAGCACCAAAATATGACGTGGCGGCAGCGGCCAAAGCATGAGCATTGGCGCGCGCCGCCCGCGGCGTTGAGACGGCGTCGAACCCACCCCCACGCATAGGAATCCCAACCCAGGTCGCCGGCGACCCTTGGCCGCTGTCTCGGCTCAACAGCCGCGGCGCACCGGCCGGGGGCCGCCGCCCAGCCCCCTGCCCCCACCCTGCTGCCGCCCCGGCTCCCCGCTCCCCTGTCGCATTGATCCCAGCTTCTTTTGCCGCGCGTCGCTGCGCAAGGTGTGTTGTCCCCCCTCCGCGCCCCCGGCGCTGTATACACTGCGGCCCGCCGCCACCGAAGATCAGATCAGATCACATCGCACAACGACGATGGTGGTGTTGCTAACGACACCAGTCCTGCTTCTCCCGCTCGAGGCCGAGCGCCCCAGCGCACGTTGTCACTGTTTTGATGCCGACTCACAGGCTTTTTTGCGTCTCCTCGCCTCTCGCGCGGCGCCGCTGTGTGCTCAGGCGCGGGCTTCCAGCTGCTGTCACTGCTTGGCTTGTGGTTTGTGTCACTGCCTGGGTCTGTAAGGAACTGGGTTACTGCAGAAGCTTCCGGGGGTTGGGTGAGAGGCCAGCATGAGGCAGTTGGGGAGACTTGAGGAGGGGAGGGGGTGAAGAGGAAGGGTGCGGGGATGAAATGAGATGAAGTGGCCCAACGGCCTGGAAGTTGGCTTGACGGGATCATCATCACTGGTGGCTGTCTGCTTTGCAGCAGCAGCCCTGCTTGTCGCAAGTCGGGGGCGCAAACTCGGGGGG